GCCCTCAGCTCTGCGATATAGTCCCCCAGCCAGCCCCTCCCACAGACAGCCCATGCCGGTGGATCTGCCCTGGAGACTCCACAGCCCCCCCTCCCGCCCTTCAGGCTGGGACCGGCGGCCCTCAAGCCTTCTGCTGCTTCAGCACAGAAAGGATGACACTGGAGGCGTGACATGTTCCCAAAGGTGTCTGTGGTGGGCTGAACAGTGCCCCCACCCCAGAAGGTATGTGCATCTGGAACTCGTGCATGAGACCTTATCTGGAAACAGGGTCTTTGCAGATGTAACCAGGTTAAGGATGTTGAGATGACATCCTCCTGGATGAGAGGGGGCCCCCATGACACTGTCCTTCTGAGAGAAGAGAAAGGAAGAAGGCCACCCAAGACAGAGGCAGAGACTGGAGTGATGCATCCATGAACCAAGGAACGCCAAGGAATGCCAAGGAATGCCATGGAAGGCCAAGGAACACTGGAAGCCGCCAGACAGGAAGGATCCCCACTGGAGCCTTCAGAGGGAAGGTAGTCCTGCTGACACCTCGGTTTTGGACTTGTCGAGATGCATTATCAGGATGCAAAAGCCAGTGTCATAACCACAGTACTGTCTGTCTCACATCGCTCTAATTTATGCACAATTTTCTAAACAGTTGGATTATTTTTTCTCTATTGTAAACTATTTTTAACTTAACTATCATTCTAAGAACTGGGAACACACTTTGCAAGTCTCATAACCCCTGACCCAGAATCTCCGTCCTGTGGGACTGACTTGGGAAGGGTTTTCATCTGTGACAATAATCCAGACTCACCTTTCTCCTGAGCCATCTCTTGCAGACAGAAGTAGATGACTCTGGCTCCCAGGCTGAAGCCAATCAGGGTGACAGGTCGCTGGCCCTGAGTGGGAGGGGAAAACACAGGTGTCTGGAGAGGATACAGTCAGCTCTAGCAAAACATCAGCCCTGACGACAGCGGCCTTTGCACGCTCCTACTGCCTCACGGCATGAATCACGCATGCCCTGCCTGGCCCCTGAGCTCTCCTGTCTTAATCAGGGGAGGCAGGGCCCTCACTGATGCAGGAGTGCACCTGCTGCTGGCATCAGCCTCCTCTGAGGCCAAAAGGCAGCCTCGGGCTGGTTATGATTCCCTTTTATCTCAATCATTACCCAGCCACTGTCTCCTCTTCCCTGGGAGACAAGGTCTAGTCAATTACAAGAGCTGCTTCCCCGTGACTCTTCTGCCTTGTGGCAAATGACTGCAGTGCTGTGGGACCCTTCTAGAACTGGGGAGATCAGACAGGCACCTCCAGGGGTGATGGGTAAAAAGGCAACGAGTGATAAGGGAGGAAGGACCATTCTGTTTGTAGATAGGAAGGGGGGCAGGAAATACTGGCATTAAATGACAAGATTTTCTGACTCAGGGACTTACAGAAAAGATACCATGTGATTACGCAAAGGCTCTACAGAAAAAGAAAGTTAACCAGGGTATTTGGGTACAAGTTCTACAAGGAAGGGGAGGAGAGAAGCAGATGAGCGCTGGAGGCCTCGTCTGGCTTTACCAGTCTACTCATTTTCCTTATTTTTGTGCCAATACGTGTATTCCACACCTCCCACCCGACTCCATTTGCTACAACAATACTCTTTTAGACAGCACTCAAATTCTGTAGGAAGTCTGTACCCAAACCTGTTAGTCACCTCCAAAGTCCATTCTTTCCTCTGTCCATCAGTAACAGAGCTCCTGAGCTTGACTGAGCTCATAGCTGCCCAGCCAAAGACTATTTCCCTAACTCCTCCATCAATAGCATGGCCACGGGGCTGAGTCTCAGCCAAGAAATAGCTATGACTTCTAGGCATGTTCTTCATCCTCACTCCCTGCCTCCCAACCATCTGGAAGGCAGGTCCAATGCTGGAAGATCCATCTTGATCAACAAGAGGCCACGAGAGTGAAGGAGCCTGGGCACCCAACACTGTGAGGCCGCCCACTGGGAGATGGAATAATACAATCGCCTGCCCCAAGGATAACGACATCCTCATCCTAATCCTTATATGGCAAAAGGACTTTGCAGGTGTGATCAAGTTAAGGCTGTGAGATGGGGAAACTATCCAGGATTACCTAGGGGGCTCAGTGTAATCACAAGAGTTCCCCTTCCCCTTAGAAGGGGAGTCAGTTAGATAGAAGGTGACGCGATGATGGAAGCAGAGGGACACAGAGATGTGGAGGTGTTACACTGCTGGCTTTGAAGATGAGTGAAAGGGCTACAGGCAAAGGATGTAGGTGGCCTTTGGAAGCTGGAAAAGGCAAGGAAATGGCTGCTGCCCTGGGGATGCATGTTGGACTCCTGACCTCTAGGGCTGTAACCCAGTGAATTTGTATGTAAGATAAATTTGTTTTAAGCCAGTAAAACAAATGTGGTGATTTGTTATGGCAGCAATAGGAAACTAATACACACCATTTTGCCCTGGAGGCTGACACCCAGACTGTTACATGGGAGACAACTGACTTCTGTCTTATTTAAGCCAATGCCATGGGGTCTTTGCCTTTCAATCAAACCTGTTAAAGAACTTTTACATTTCTTTTTATTTTTTTATTTTATTTTTTTAGAGACAGAGTCTCATTTTTATCGTCCTCAGTAGAGTGCAGTGGCATCATAGCTCACAGCAATTTCCAACTCCGTTCCTGGGCTTAGGTGATTCTCTTGCCTCAGCCTCCCGAGCAGCTGAGACTACAGGCGCCCGCCACAACGCCCAGCTACTTTTTCTTGCAGTTTGGCCAGAGCTGGGTTTGAACCCACCATCCTTGGTATATGGGGCCAATGCCCTACCCACTGAGCCACAGGTGCCGCCCACTTTTACATTTCTTTTGACAAAGAAGGGAGTTTACCAGTTTCTTTCTTTCTTTCTTTCTTTTTTTGAGATAGAGTCCCTGGGTAGAGTGCTGTGGCATCACAGCTCACAGCAACCTCCAACTCCTGGGCTCAAGTGAGTCTCCTGCCTCAGCCTCCCAAGTAGCTGGGACTACAGGCGCCTGCCACAACGCCCAGCTATTTTTTGGTTGCAACTGTCATTGTTGTTTGGCAGGCCCGAGTTGGATTTGAACCTGCCACCTTAGGTGTATGTGGCTGGCGCCTTAGCCACTTGAGCCACAGTTTACCAGTTTCTAAAGCAATTTATCCAAGTAGCAGAAACTGCTAATTGTCCCTCAATATCTGTCCTCCCTCTTTTTTTTTTTTTTTAAATAGGGTCTTGCTCTGTTGCCCAGGCTAGAGTGCAGTGGTGCCATCCTAGCTGAACTCCTGGGCTCAAACAATCCTCCCTGCCTCAGCCTCCCAAGTAGCTGGGATGACAGGTGCATGCCACCAGACTCAGCTAACAAAAGATTTTATTTATAGAGATGGGGTCTTGCTATGTTGTCTAGGCTGGTCAGGAACTCCCAGCCTCAAGCAATCCTCCCACCTTGGCCTCCCAAAGTGCTGGGATACAGATGTGAGCCACCATGGCTGGCCTAGCCTCACTTTTTCCTATGGTAATTGCATTTCAGCTGGGTTTACCGCCACTCAATAAAGACTATTTCCTAGCTTCCACAGCAGCTAGGTATGGGCATATGACTAGGTTCTGGCCAATGAGACATCAACTGAACTGTGAAAGGCTTTGCTCTTTCTTCTTTAGCTCTTCCTTCTGCTCCATGGAGCTCAGATGCTGCCATCCTGGACCATAAGGTCAAGACCACGTATGGCAGAGCAACAGATAGAAGGAACCCAGGTCTCTACCCCCTGGCACACAATCCGAGTGTGTGACAGTCTTCCCAGGCTTTTCCAGAAAAAACAAAACTTCTATCTCACTTAAGGCACTGTTATTTTGGGTTTTCTCCCACTTGTAGCCAAACAAATCCTAACAATACCGTCATCTCAGTACTGTACTATTTCCCAAACGATTATCTCCATTTGCTCAGGTTTATTTTGAAGGGCACAGATTCCTTCCCATGGCAAGTACATCTGTACTGGATTCAAATTTTAAAAGTATTATGGTTTCCCTTCCTGACCATTTTACATGGCATTTAGGCCGCTGAGGGTGTTCTCATGTGATAGCTTCTCATGTGATAGATTTATATTCCTAGGAGAAGCCACTGGGTCAACAGCATGTGGAAACTCCGCCTGTGGCCAGCTGAGGCACGTGGGCCCATCCCTGTAGTGGCTTTGCTGCAAACTATGTCAGAGGTTGCCACTGAAATATCACCCAAGTGAGCCGACCCACTATCACTAAACTCCTTCAGTGAGAGCTGATACACAGGAGCCACCTCTGCTTCTGCTAGAGCCCCCAGCCCTGTCCTACCTCACGTACCCCTGTTCTCACCAGATAACCTGCTAGACAAGCACAGTCTATACGGTCTGTAATTCTTACTGCCATCCCAGGGCACTTGGCACTTTCATCACTTGGATTGGTGGCACACCAAAGACTACCCACTCCCCCAGAGTCACTGGGCTACCTCCAAGTGGCCCTGCTTCTAAGGCTGATGTCTGTGCACAATTCATTACCCCATTCTCCCTCCTCCCCCATCTCCGCCATCCCCAGGTACCTGCTGCCGGGAGAGCAGGATGTGGGCCAGGTGCTTGCCAACCTCTGCTGATCGATGGAGACATACACCCCAGGGGTTGTCAATGACGTTGGCGACAGCAAGGAGTGAGGCTGGCCAGGTCAGGGCAGCCACAAGGCCTGGGGAGATGGCATAGCAGTGATGAAAGGAATTGATGGGTGGGCTTCTGCGGGAGTGACTGGCTCACGTATGCTACTGTGCATGCATGCAGAGTCTCTAACTTGGAACCTGCAAGTTTGCCAAGGGTTGTCAAACTGCTCAAGAGCAAAGAAGTTTGAAATGTGTGCACTAAATTCCTTCTG